GATATTAATACATATCAATCATCATTACAAACGACCATACAGTTCAACATAAAAACCCAACTCATTCATACAACTTAGAAGCAACTTTAATACAACAACAACAACAACAATATACAACTTAATATTTAATGCGTCATCACACATGTACAACTGGGAGATCTCCAACAACTGAGGTTGAGCAGTTTAGGTGGGATAAAACCTACCGAATCCGGCGTTTGACCTATCTCAACCAAGTCAGGTATAGAACAGCTTTAGGAACTCCGAAGAGAACCAGGTATAGATAACAATAGGCGATTGATCAAGTGTGTCACTTAGAATCGGAGGTCTAGTACTACTGTCAGGACAGAAGGGTTTGGGTATGAGCCTACCACGACCTTGGCTAGCATCACCAATCCACATGTGGAGTTAGCCCCCCCACTGTCCCCCAAGTACCACGCCCCCTCCAATACCTAGTCAAAGACTACATCTCTAACGAGATACCTTACTCAAATTGGTCATTCAACCATGACATGGATCGACTATTTCCATGTCGCCCACACAGTACTAAGGGATTCAACTTTAAAACAACTTTCAACTTATCACCTTAGTACTATGTATCTCAACATAGGACATATATCTTCGCCATATGTCCCCAACTTTTCAACTTTACAACAATAGACACCATAACAATTTTATAACTAAATATCGAGAGCCACTTTGTTGAATCGGCTCATGAACGTCCGAAGAGACTCCTTTCTATCTTGACGAATGCTAACTAATGCCAACGAGGTTAGCTGATGAGGGCGGCTGGTGGCGAATTGAATTGTGAACTGGGAGGCCAGCGTGCCGAATGAGTCGACAGAATTGGCTGGGAGTCGGGTGAACCAACTCAGCGCTCGCCCCTTCAAGGATGTCGGAAAGATTCGGCATAGCGCGGCATCATCGGTGGTGCTTAAGGTAACCTGTGTCAAAAACACATCCACGTGTTCATCTGGGTCGATTGTACCATCGTATTTGTCAAGGGGCAGGGACTTCCAGTGGTCAAGAAGTGTCGATTGCATGATGTTCGGCGTAAATGGATGTCGGTGTGCCCCGGCCGGCATTGG